AGAGAAGGCTGGTGGGCAGGTCCACGTGCCAGTTTTTAGGGTTTGGATGTAAACGTTGCACTTGCAGGGGACAGAGACGTTAGAAACGAGATGGAGCTACAAGTTCATGAACTCCCACTTCATACTCCTCCCGCGGCGCCCAGGGAATGGCTCTGCCCAGGGCCCCCACAACTAGTCCAGGCCAGGCGACCAGTCATGGCCTGTGCTCACCTGTGACAGGTGACACTTCTGGGCTGAGGCCATCCTGTGCCTCCATGAACAAGGAAGCCCATGTGGATAGCGGAGCCCCAGAGCTAGGCAGCCTGGGCCTCTGAGCTACCCCACAGCACGGCGTCCAACAGACGGGCTCAGGACCATGGACACGGCATCGGCCACAGATGCCGGAGATGATTGCACATCCCAGCCCATCTTCAGTCAGAGCCTTCCAGACCTCGGCACTCTCAATGACCACAGGCTCATCAGCCAGAAGATAGAGACACAGAGAATTCGTGTGAGTGGGTTGTGTCTGACAACAGGGTCAGGAACCAAAGCGACAGTTCACCTTCCTCAGATTGAGGGCATGAGGATTTCTAAAGGGCCCTGACCCCCCAACTTCTCGGTCACTCAGTGGCCTTCACTGTGCTCCGCAGAATTCAGATTCTGAAGATGGGTGTGGATGTCATCTGGCCAGAGCTAGGCTTTGGAGATGCTCTCAGCTCACCGGGCTGCCTCTGGAAGGAGAAAAGTTCAGGGGACTCCCAACGCCAGAGCATCTGCCTCTCACCAAGGCTAATTCCGCAGGAACAAGCCATGCAGAGGGACACATGAGCTTCAGAGAAGCACCAGGACCCTTGGGAATTTCATGCACCGATTTGGGTATTTAGGTGGGTTTTTGTTTTTTGTTTGTTTTGAGACAGGACCTTGCTCTGCTGCCCAGGCTGGAGTGTAGTGACACAATCTCGGTTCACTGCAGCCTTGAACTCCTGAGCTCAAGCACTCCTCTCACCTCAGCCTCCTGAGTAGCTGGGATTATAAGTGTGCACCACCAGGGCCGGCTAATTTTTTTTTTTTTTTTTTTTTTTTTTGATACGGAGTTTCACTCTTGTTACCCAGGCTGGAGTGCAATGGCACCATCTCGGCTCACCGCAACCTCCGCCTCCTGGGTTCAAGCAATTCTCCTGCCTCAGCCTCCTGAGTAGCTGGGACGACAGGCTGTGCCACCATGCCCAGCTAATTTTTGTATTTTTAGTAGAGATGGGGTTTCGTCGTGTTGACCAGGATGGTCTCGATCTCTTGACCTCGTGATCCAACTGCCTTGGCCTCCCAAATGCTGGGATTACAGGCATGAGCCACTGCGCCCGTCCAGGCCCGGCTAATTTTTTAAGAGATGAGGTCTCACTATGTTGCCCAGGCTAAGACACATTTGAATCCCAGGAAGATTCTGAAATATCCATTATCCTGGCTACTCTCTAGCAATGCCTTGTTCCCTGTGGCCCCAGCACCCCCACAGGCAGTAACTTCCTGCAGAAATGAACAAAGCTGTGCCACCACGCGTTCATCAGCTCTCCCGTGCCCAAGTACAGCAGGTCCTGAGACAACAGCAATGTTTCCTTCTGCAGTTCTGGAGTCCAGACGTCCAGATCCAGGAAAAGCAGGTGGAAACCAAGGTGGTGCAGGGCCATGCCCTCTGGAGGCCCCTGGCAGGCCCCTCCTCATCTGTTCTGGTGGCTGCAGCCCCCTTAGCCTGTGGCCACATCTCGCCAACCCCTGCCTTGTGGTCACATGGCCTCTTCTCCTTCTGTGTGGAATCTCCTCCTGCCTCCCCTTATGAGGCACATGTGATGGTGTCAGGGCCCTCCTAGGAAACCCAGGACTACTCGTCCACCTCGAGCCTCACTTCATCACATTGGCAAAGTCCCTCTGTGCCACTCAAGATCAAGATGACACATTCAGGTCCCAGAGACTAGGCCATGTGTATCTTGGGGGGCCTGGAAACCTCCCAGGATGGAGTAGCCATGCCCAGCTACTCCAGTCACATCTAGCTACTCTAGTCATGCCCAGCTACTCCATCCGTGCCTAGCTACTCTAGCCACACCGAGATACTTCAGCCATACCCAGCTACTCTAGCCACATCTAACTACTCCAGTCATGCCCAGCTACTCCATGTATGCCTACTCCACGTATGCCTAGCTACTCCATGTATACTCTAGCCACACCCAGATATTCCAGCCATGTCCAGCTACTCCAACCAAACCTAGATGTTCCAGCCATACCCAGCTATTCCAGCCATGCCCATCTACTCCAGCCAAATCCATCTACTCCAGCCACACCCAGCTATCCTGGCCACATCTAGCTACTCCATCCATGCCTAGCTACTACAGCCACACCCAGCTACTCCAGACACACCCAGATACTCTAGCCACATATAGCCACTCCAGTCAGGCCCAGATAACTCTATCCATGTCTAGCTACTCCAGCCACACCCAGCTTCTCCAGCCACACATAGCTATCCCAGACATGCTCAGTTACCCTAACCACTGCTCAACCACAGAAGCAGGAGCTGTTCCTGCTTGGGGTAACTGGGCACCCTGGACCCAGAGTATCCAGCCTGAACTGGCCACACACTCTGGAAAAGGTAGAGTTTTCAGCATGATGTGAGCAGTTGGGAGCCAAGGCCCCTGAAGGCCACTCCTCTGCATAGCCCCTGCCAGCCTTTCTGGGTGAGAGTCCAGCAAAATGTATCAAAAGCCTGTTAAAAACATGCACACCAGCACCCACCAGGATCTTAACAGGCCCACCTCTGACCCAGCAACCTGAATGCCCGGACTCTCCTGCCTAACTGCCGCCTTACGACTCGCAGAAACATTGTAGCGCAGAGAAATTAGAAACCTCCCACGTGACCTTGGCAAACGCAGCAGCTAATAAACTCTGATTCATTCTTACAATGGAACACTGTGCAGATACTTGCAACAATTAGATTTGTGCTTATATGGAAGGACTTTTTAGACCCATCATCGGCAAGGAGCAGAGCCGAGAACAAGGTATCTAGTGTGTTCCCAGGGTCCCCACCTGCATTCACGGGCACACACCTGCAAACACACAGGGCGGCTGGAGCCTCCCCGGACCACCACGTGGTCACTCTCAGGGAAAGAGAGAAAAAGACACTTTCTCTTTGTATTTTATACATATGGAAGTCATTTAGATTTTATATAGGACTGGTATCAAAATGTGTTCAGTTAAGCTAATGAAGAATTATAATTTGTCAAAAAATTGTTTTTTTATCTTATTTTAATTTATTTATTTTTTGAGATGGAGTTTCTCTCCTGTTGCACAGGCTGGAGTGCAATGGCATAATCTTGGCTCATCACAACCTCCACTTCCTGGGTTCAAGTGATTCTCCTGCCTCAGCCTCTGGAGTAGCTGGAATTACAGGCACTCACCACCACGCCCATCTAATTTTGTATTTGTAGTAGAGACGGGGTGGGGTTTCTCCATGTTGGTCAGGTTGGTCTCAAACTCCTGACCTCAGGTGATCTGCCTGCCTCAGCCTCCCAAAGAGCTGGGATTATAGGCATGAGCCACTGCGACTGGCCTAAAAAATTATTTTAAAAAAGAGAATTTTCCAAAATGTTACACATCCTTTGATCATATCAAGAAATTTACCTCAAAGAAAGAAATAAGCAAATACTCCACAATGAAAATGCGAAAGGATGACCATCAAATGTTTATAAAATAAAAAATGCAGGCCGGGCATGGTGGCTCACACCTGCAATCCCAGCCCTTTGGGAGGCCAAGAAGGGCGGATCCCTTGAGGTCAAGAGTTCGAGATCAGCCTGGCCAACAGGAGGAAACCCTGTCTCTACTAAAAGTACAAAAATTAGCCAAGCATGGTGGTAGGCGCCTGTAGTCCCAACTATTCAGGAGGCTGAGGCAGGAGAACCGGCTGAATATGGGAGGCAGAGGTTGAAGTGAGCCGAGATCACACTACTGCAGTCCAGCCTGGCCAGCAGAACAAGACTCTGTCTAACATAATAATAATAATAACAGAGATTTTAAAAATGCAAACAGCCACAGTAGGAAAACAGCTGATTCACATAGAAACTGACAGCACAGACTGCTGTGAAACCCTTACCGGCAAGAAAAGGTGCTGAGGACACCGTTAAGTGTGACAAACAGTGTAGAATGAGAAGCTACGATAGACAGGATCTGTGACAAGGAAAATCCTTAAGGACTACCCCGCAAATATCCCCAAGGATTATCTCTAGGCATCAGATGGAAACATTTTTGCTTTAAATCTTTTCAAAATTGTCTTCATTTTTCCAATTATGTCTACGATCAACATTCCCACACATGGCGTCCGAGCTCCTTCACAATCAGACCTCTCCTTGAATAACCCTGGCCTCCTCTGTCCCCTCACTGCGACCCTGCAGACTTCATCTACTATCACCTCCTGCCTCGGGCTTCCAAGCTCCCAGCATTGGCAGGAGCCTTGGGAAGGGTGCCTCCTGGCCCCATCTCCCCTACAAGGCGATGAGTTTGACAACAGCAAGGCACATCCATACATGCCAAAGAGGCTGGAACACGAAGCCCATGGTACTCAGACCACCCAGGCCTTTCTAGGTATAGGGCGAGGGGAAACCGCAGACCCAGACCCAGTATTTGAGGAAGGCAACTTGGCTCTCCTAGAGCAGGGACTCAGCTCCGCGGCAGGGCAGCTGCATGCAGCACAGTATTTCGGGAAGCCACCCCTGCCTGGTGATCCCACATTTCCAGAAAGCTGTAACACGCTTCTCCTGGAGCCGAGCATTCCATGACCCACCGCCCATGAGTCAAACAAATGGCAAAGCCTCCCTGGAGGCCGGGGAGGGTATTGGTACTGCTGGGGTGGGAGACAGGTCTGCCCACCTCCTGGAGGCCAGGGAGGGCAGCAGTGATGCCAGGGCGGGGGATGGATCTGCCCCACCTCCTGAAGGCCAGAGAGGATGGCAGTGATGCCCGGGTGAGCAACAGGGCCTGCCTACCTCCTCTCGTTGTCATCCAGGTGAGCGAACAGCACATTCTTGGAGATGGCCTTGGCCAGCGCAGTCATGGTCTTGTAGTCCTTGGGAATCACCTGAAGGGAACCGGAAACATCAGCACGTGAGCCACTCTGTCCTGATGCTGTGACGCGACCTGAAATCTCCCTATTCAACCCTCAGCTTGGTGTTACCAGGCAATGGTAAAAAGAGGCAATTTGAAGTTTAATGTGTATTTCACCACTATTTTTTTTTTTCTTTTTTTGAGACAGAGTCTTGCTCAGTTACACAGGCTGGAGTGCAGTGGTGCAATCACAGCTCACGGCAGCCCCCATCTCCTGGGCTCAAGAGCTTTTCCTGCCTCAGCCTCCCAAGTAGCTGGGACCACAGGCGGGTACCACCATACCTGGGTAATTTTTTTTGATTTTTAGTATAGGTGAGGTCTCGCTATGTTGCTGAGGCTGGTCTCAAACATCTGAGTTCAAACAATTCTCCCTCCTCAGGCTCCCAAAGTGCCCGGATGACAGGCACAGGCACCCGCACCCAGCCTCTTACTATTTTTGAAATGCAGTCACATATGACTTAATGATGAGAAGCATCCTGAGAAGTTCCTCATTAGGCAATTTCATCATCATGCAAACATCACAGAGTAACTGACACAAGCCTAGCTGGTACAGCCTACCGCGCACTGAGGTTATAACATGATAGGGCCCATCACTCCTAGGCTGCAAATCTGTACAGTATGTCATCATCCTCAACACTGCAGGCAGCTGTAACACAGTTCAAGGTGTATCGAAATGTATCTACACAGCCGGGCACGGTGGCTCACACCTGTCATCCCAGCACTTCAGAAGGCCGAGGCAGGTGGATCACGAGGTCAGGAGTTCAAGACCAGACTGGCCAACATGGTGAAACCCCGTCTCTACTAAAAATACAAAAACTAGCCAGACGTGGTGGCGGGCACCTGTCATCCCAGCTACTCAGGAGGCTGAGGCAGGAGATTCACCTGAGTCCAGCAGGTGAAGGTTGCGGTGAGCCAAGATCGGTTCACTGCACTGCAGCCTGAGTGACAGAACAAGACTCCACCTCAAATAAATAAATAAATAAATAAATAAAATAAACATATCTACACAGACAAAAGGCTCAGTAAAGCATGGTATCATAATCTTACCGGACCACGTATATGCAGTCTGTCAATGTCCAAAAAGCAGTCATGCAGTGTGTGCCTGTATTCAATAGTCTGTTACCAACTGCAGTCACCCTCCCATGCAAAGATCTCAAAACCCATTCATCCTGTCTGTCTGTCTGTCTGTCTGTCTGTAACTTTGTACCTTATGATCAGTAATTCCCCATTCCCTCTCTGGGTGAATTCTATGAGCACCTCAGTTGCCAGGATATCCCCCACTTAAAATAAAACCATGCCGGAAGGTCTTTTAGGCCACACTAGCTTGTGTGGTGCTTGGGTTGCCCAGGAAGTCCCCGTCTGTCCAGGTACAACTGCAGGCCGCACAGGTTTAAGCATGCCGTGTGTTTAATGCAGAGAACCCTGTGCAGACGTCTTTGAGAGACAGCACTGAAGTCTCCTAAAAAGCCACACTCCAGGCCGGGTGCAGTGGCTCATGCCTATAATACCAACACTTTCAGAATTGCCTAATTGAGGTGGGCAGATCACGAGGTCAGGAGTTTGAGACCATTACATGGTAAAATCCTGTCTCTACTAAAAATACAAAAATTTTCTGGCTTTGGTGGTGCACCCCTATAGTCCCAGCTACTCGGGAAGCTGAGACAGAAGAATCGCTTGAACCCGGGAGACGGAAGTTGCAGTGAGCAGAGATCGCACCATTGCACTCCAGCTTGGCAACAGAGCAAGACTCCACTACCACCCCCACAAAAAAGAAAGAAAAATGTAAGTGTTGGCCAGGCACGGTAGCTCATGCCTGTAATCCCAGCACTTTGGGAGGCCGAGGCAGGCAGATCACGAGGTCAGGAGTTCAAGACCAGATTGGCTAACATGGTGAAACCCCATCTCTACTAAAAAAAAAAAATGTATAGAAAATTAGCCGGGCATGGTGGCTCATGCCTGTAATCCCAGCTACTTGGGAGGCTGAGGAAGGAGAATTATTTGAACCGGGACCCAGGAGGTAGAGGTTGCAGTGAGCCAAGATCGTGCCACTGCACTCCAACCTGGACTACAGAGTGAGACTCCAGCTCAAAAAAAAGAAAAATGTAAGTGTTGACCAGACACAGTGGCTCATGCCTGTAATTCCAGCACTTTGGAAGGCTGAAGCAGGTGGCTTACTTGAGGTCAGGAGTTTAAGACCAGCCTGGCCAGCGTGGTGAAACCCTGTCTCTACTAAAAATACAAAAATTAGCTGGATGTAGTGGTGGGCACCTGTAATCCCACTACTCGGGAGGCTGAGACAGGAGAATCGCTTGAACCCAGGAGGCAGCGGTTGTAGTGAGCCAAGATCATGCCACTGCACTCCAGCATGGGCAAGAAGAGTGAAACTCCATCTCAAAAATAAAAATAAAAATAAATTTAAAAAAAAATATATATATATATACACACATATGTGTGTGTGTGTGTGTATGTGTGTGTGTTTGTGTGGTTTTTAGTTTCTATTTACAGAAAAGTTGCAAAGATCATTCCCGCGCACCTTGCAGGTTCCCTGATGTGACCACCTCATATCCTATGATGTATTTATCACAACCAGGGAGGCAACGCCAATACATGACACTGAGCCCCACACCAAATCTGTTCTTCCTTTGCTTTCCCTGAATGCCCTTTCTCTGTCCCAGGACCCCATCCTGTCTCCCCAGTGCCCTCTGGTCCGCAACAGTTCTTCAGACTCTCCTCATGTGCCGTGAGCAGGGCTAGTCAGGTATTCTGCAGAACGTCCCAATATATGGGTTTATTTGAGGTTTTTCTCGTCGTTAGACTGAGGTTCTGGGTCTTGGGAAGACCCCAGAGGTGGAGTGCCCTGATAAGTTTTAATAATGCTTGTGCTAGCTTTAATTAGCTGATTATAAAAGCATTAAGCACCAGGGAAAGGAATGGAAAATGCATGTTTAGTGGGGACGGAGTGTCCGTTCTGCAAGGCAAGAAGGTTCTGGAGATGGTGGTGGTGATGATTCCACAGCAATAAGCATGTGCTTAATGCCACCCAAGTGTGCACTCAGAAATGGCTCAGGGGGTACTGAGCATTGCACTGTGTCTCCCCAAAATTCACATGTGGAAGCCCTAACCAGCCACGCAATGGTGTTTGGAGAGAGGCCTTTGGGAGGTGGCTGGGGTTAGACGGGGTCATGAGAGGAGAGCCCTGATTAGTGGGATTCGTGTCTGTATAAGAAGAGACCAGAGAGGCTCCAGGAGCATGGGAAGCACACAGCCCAGGACAGCGCCTCTGCTGACTCCAAGGACCTGGGTTCCAGTGAGTCTCCTCCCTTCCCTGAGCCTATGAGGATCCGTAAGCCGCCATGGGGCTGCAGAGACCCCACACAGAGCTGCTTCCATCAATTCAAGCTCAGCTAATCTGGCAAAGACAGTAACAAACCCATCTTGCCCAGAACTACCTCTGCCATCACCCATGTAGTCCTCCCTCTGACCATAATAACACTGAGGCCCCCAGGAGGAGGACGGTGCCCCGTGGGGTTCCAGGGAGCTCACGGGTGACAGCCACATGCCAAGGCCTGGGGACAGGAACCCCGTGAGCCTCACCTTCCTGACGTAGGACACGGCGTCCTCCTCGGTGTACACCTCAGCGCTCACACCCCCTCGCCGACGGCGGGCCTTCACCACGGGGTTCGGAGGGGTGGGTGACACCTCCTCATCGTGGGAGTCCGACTGTGAGTTCGACTTCTGCCGCGCCAAAATCTGCCTGTTTTCTTCCTGCGTGGGAGACGAGAACACAGAAAGTAAGTAAGAACCTGGCTGTCGTGGCTGGGCACGGGGCTCAAGCCTGCGATCCCAGCACCGTGGGAGGCCTAGGTGGGAGGATCGCTTGAAATCAGGAGTTTGAGACTCGGGTACACTTTGTGTCCCCATACAAATCTCATCTTGAATTATAATCCCCATAATCCCCACATGCCCAGGGACAGACCAGGTGAAGGTGATTGGATCATGGGGGTAGTTTCTCCCATGCTGTTCTCAAGATAGTGAGTTCGTTTCTCACAAGATCTGACGGTTTTATAAGGGGCTCCTCCTCCTTCGCTCAGCACCTCTCCTTCCTGCCACCTTGTGAAGAAGCGGCCTTGCTTCCCCTCGCCTTCTGCTATGATTGTAAGTTTCCTGAGTCCTCCCCAGCCATGCTGAACTGTGAGTCAATTAAACCTCTTTATAAACTACCCAGTCTCAGGCAGTTCTTTATAGCAGCATGAAAACAAACTAATACACCCTGTCTCTACAAACAAACAAAAAAGAATTAGCTGTAAGTGGTTTCACTTAAAGTCGTATCGTTTCTTTTGCACAGGCTGGAGTGCAGTGGCATGATCTCAGCTCACTGCAATCTCTGCCTGCTGGATTCAAGTGATTCTCCTGCCTCAGCCTCCTGATTAGCTGGGATTACACGTGCATGCCACCACACCCAGCTAATATTTTTAGTAGACATCCTGACCTCATGATCTGCCCGCCTCTGTCTCCCAAAGTGCTGGGATTACAGATGTGAGCCACCATGCCCGGCCTAAAGTCGCAGTTTCTAAGAACCTAACAACATTTCTGTGTATGTAACAGTTTTGTGAGACATTAAGAAATAAAGTGAGTGAGGCTCTCCAGGAAATTTTTATGACTGCATATAAATCCACAATTATCTCAAAATTCAAACCACTTTCTACAGCGGGTGATAGGCTGAGCTGGTGTGGGGTTTAGGAGGCTGAGATGACAAGCCTCTGGAGGTCTGCTGTGAAGAGGGACTGGAAGTTGAGCCCCAAGTCACTGTGCAACAACCGTGGTTGTGTCCACATGGGGTCGGGTTGCCCCAAAGCCCACCCTGCCTTGAGCTGTGGATGGCAGGACGTGCCACCCCTGCAGGCCTTGTTCCTGCACACAGATGTGTGCACCCACCACTGCCCACAGCTTTTCAATCACTCTAAGCTTCGTGCATCTGCTGTGGCTTTAGGCAGTCTGTGCATTTCAATCCCAGCAGGCCGGATGTGCCTTTCCTCCTATGCCTGTGTATCCCCTTCCTTGACTTTCAAAAAACATTTTTTTAAGCAAATGGTTTGCTTATTAGTTCCAAATATCAAACCCAAGGATTTCTGAGTATTGGCCATTTAAAGCCAGCCAGATGCACCAGTGCAGGTGGGTAAGGTGACTAGTAGGTCACACCAAGGTAGAGGGTGCAGGAGAGGGGTTTGAATTCCTGCACTCTGTAGCCATTCCTCCTGCTCCAGGAACTTCTGGCAAACACATGACTGTCTCCCCAGCCTGTTAAAACTGAGACATGGTGGGAGCTCCTACTGAATGCCAGCCACCATCCATCCTGTGGGTGGTGGACGTGAGTGAAGGATCCCCAAAGCCCAGAGTGGGCCTGGCCAACACGAACATGGGCAGCAGGACACAGTCACAGCAATGCCCTGACCGACACCAGCCTCAAGCCCCACTCCTTGCCCACCTGCCACGTGCAAGGCATGGCGCCCACTCCCCAAGGAAAGGTAGCCTAACAATCTGCTTGTTGCTCCCTCAGCAAACAATCCCACCAGCTGCCCACCCAGCCCAATGCAGCCATCTGTCAATCATGGCCAAGGGCAGTTTCCCCAGGGGCCCCACTTGTTCTGCCATTGATGCCCACCTCTGCATGCACCAATGCCCACCTCTGAGTACACCAATGCCCACCTCTGAGTGCACCGATGCCCACCTCTGAGTGCACCAATGTCCACCTCTGCGTCTGCCAATGCCCACCTCTGAGTGCACCAATGCCCACCTCTGCATGTGCTGGCCAGTTCTCCCTATCTCCTCACTCACCTGTCAGATGCTAAATGCCCAACCAGGAAGCCACTGAGTATGCAAGGATTGCCAGGTGCAGCTTTATGTGGTTGTTTAAATATATCTTGATGGAGCTTCCCCAAAAAAGATGGCAGATGGAAGGTCCTCTTTTCCCTTTAGAGACCTCTCAAATGATAGTAAAATGAAAATATATACATATATACATCCACCACAAAGACCAGAAAGTCAGGAACGCCATCCAAGATTTCTAGAAAACAGACAATGAACCAAAGCACGGAATTTGACATTTGGACAAAGTAAGAGGCAGCCTGGGGTATGTGAAGCAGGTTCTCCCCAATCCAGAGAGGGAACTGTTCGTGCTGCAGAACCCCATGGGACAGAGAACAGAGGTGGTGAAAGTCATCAAGATCCAGACTCAGGACCACAGGAGCCCGGGAGCCAAGCAGCCCCCCAAGGCCAGGAGCCCAGGTATCCTGTTGCTGCTCCTCCTCTTCCCTTTTACTGTGGAAATTCCCAAACTACACAAGAGTAGAGAGAGTAATTCAATGAATCACCAAACGCCCATCACCCACCCTCAACAATTATCAAAACGGAGCCAGTCCTATTTCATTTCACTTCCACTCCCTTCACACACACACACACACACACACACACACAGACACAGGATGGAAGCAAATCTCAGATATAGCATTTCATTTTAAATACTTCAATATCTATATCTAAAATACAACTTGTTAAAACATAACCACAATCCCCATTATCACCTGCTATCAGTTGGATATGACTTGTCCCTCCTAAAATTTGATCCTCAATGTAGTGGTGTTGGGAAGTACATGAATGCAACTTTTTATATTAATATAATTCATGTTACATATAAAATATAATATACATATAACAGTGGGAAGATACACCATGAAAATATCTAAAAAGAGACAAAAAGAGAAAAAAACATGCGTGTATGCATATATGTGTGTGTATATATATATATGACATGTTTTTATATATATACATATTCCAAAAACATCCCAGGAAGCTCAATCTCATTAATAGCAATTCCAGAAGACAAAATAAAATAGAAACTTGCCAGAAATAAAAGAAAAATTTCCCTAAACTGAAGAATATGAGTGTCTTGGTTGACGTAGCCCACAAGATTTTCAGTCCTAGTTAAAGGACTTCCAGGGATGAGAATTTTCCAAAAGCTCCCATAGAGAAAAGTCAGGTGACCTACAATGGGCTGACAATAAGAATGACTCAACCTTCTCAAAAGAAACACTAGATACTAGAAGACTATGAAATGAAGCCTCCAACATTCTGAAGGAAACTTCCTTTCAACCTAGACCTTTATACCCAGCTGAATTAGCCTTCATGTTTGTAGTTATAATAAAGACAGTATTATATTTGACCAATATACTTGATTGATCATTTTTACCTTTCAGAATGTACTTACAGACAAAACATAAAAGGCATAATTCTAGTTTTTGAAAAAATATAAATTTCAAGGAGAAGACAGAAACCCAGAGAGGTGAACACAGTGCTTGGAACCACGAGAAGTATCTAGAACAAGCAGCTGAGAAGCTGACAAGCTGAGCTTTCAACAGATTTACAGAGGTAGGAAAGACCAAAACTGAAACTTAGGGTCTGTCTGGAAAAAGAAATCCTTGTAAATCCTCCAGATTTTGTGCTGTGGCTCAAAAGATTTTGTGTGGACATTGGAAGGAAGGATGAGCTGCGATTAAGCCAGCCTCCCAGGGACTGAATCCCAGCTCAAATCGTCTTAGTCCCTAATTGAATCAGGGTGATCCATGATTGCTAGTACCTCTAGGTTAGCCATTTTTCCAAAGCAATTATAGATTCTCTCAAAAGGAATATATCAGCCTCAAATTTGCTCTTTAATTTTTCACATGTAATGTTGGGAACCCAATCAAAAATAACTCAGATACAAAAAGACAAGATCATGTAACCAAAACCCAAGAGAAGCAATAGACAATGCAGAGATATCTTCAGGGGATGCAGATCATGAAATTAATGGACATAGACTTCAAAATTACTGTGCTCAGTATGTTCAAGGAAATAAAAGATGAAATTGAGAACACTGGCGCAGAACTAAAGAAAAAAAATTTTAAGCCAAATGGAAATGCTAGAATCAAAAAAACATAATAATTGGAACTAAGAATTTGGTGGATGGGTTTAACAGCAGATGAGAAACACAAGGGAAGAAATTAATAACCTGGAAAATAGATTAAAATATCCAGACTTAAGTACGAAGACAGAAAAGGAAAGCAACTATAGAAAAGTGCTGAAGGGCATGTGAAATATGGTAAAAAAAAAAAAAAAAAAGAAAAAAACTCCAATTTATGTGAATTAAATTCCAGATGGAAGAGAGAGAATATGGCAGAAGCAATGTTTGAAAAGATAATTAAGAATTTTCCTAAACTAATAAACGACATCAGGCCATAGATTCAAGGAGTGCACAATCTCCCATGCCAGACAAACCAGCACAGCATGGTAAACCACAGGAGCCAAAGACAGAAAAACCTAAAATGCAGCCAGAAAAAAAAGACATTACCTTCAAAAGGGCATCACAGACCTGATGGCTGACTTCTCAACAGAAACAACAGAAATCCGAAAACAAGAAAGACAGCACTGAGGTTCTACTCCTAATTCAGTACTGCCAACTTAGAATTCTATACCCAGTGAAAATAGCCTTCAAAAATGAGGCTGAAATAAAGACATTCGAAGACAAACACACTAAGAAAATCCATTATCAAGAGGCCTGCTGGCAGGAAAACACTAGGAGACATACCTCAGACAGAAAGAAAATGACCCATGGGGGAAACCTGGAAATGCTGGAAGAAGTAAACCAAAGAAAGTGGAAGCATGGGGTAAATCTACACACATGCTAGCCACATAAAATACAACACAGGCCTGGTGCAGTGGCTCATGCCTAT